TATTGGGGAAATACGGTCGCCCTACTCATGAGGCAGCCCTGTTTTACTGGTGGGGAACTGAGCCATGCAAGAGTCAAGAGGAGATCAGATTACCCACTATTCAGCAAAATTGAACTTTAGAGCTTGAAACCTCTCCTGCCTCTTGGCCGTGGTAGGATACGCTAATGGATTAATAAATTTAGCTGCTCACCACTAGCAACATTAGGGGAAATACGGTCGCCCTACTCATGAGGCAGCCCTGTTTTACTGGTGGGGAACTGAGCCATGCAAGAGTCAAGAGGAGATCAGATTACCCACTATTCAGCAAAATTGAACTTTAGAGCTTGAAACCTCTCCTGCCTCTTGGCCGTGGTAGGATACGCTAATGGATTAATAAATTTAGCTGCTCACCACTAGCAACATTATATTCACTGCTTTAGTGGCACTGGTGAAAGATTTACAGGCTGGACTATAGTTTGCAGTTAGACAGCGTGGAAGATTTACAGGCTGGACTATAGTTTGCAGTTAGCGTGAGTGAGGTACCATATTTTATTGTCTCAGATTGGTAGCCGTTTTAATCTGTAACTTTAAAAACAACTCGTAGTTCTGTGGCACCTTAGGGGACATCTACACAGCAGGGCTAAACTTGAAATAAGCTATGCAATTTGAGCTAAGCTAATTGCGTAGCTTAAGGAGAAATAGCTTATTTTGACTTTTGGCACTGTCAATAGAGAAGGAAGTCCAAGAAAGAGCACTCTTCCTCCGACTTCCCTTACGCCTCATACAATGGAGGTTACAGGAATTGGAGTAAGTAGTTCTCCAGCTCGAGTTGAAATAACTGCTTGTGTGTAGACACAGACTATGTTAATTTGGAATAATGTCAGTTATTCTGAAATAATGCTGCTGTGTAGACATAGCCTTAGAGACTAACAATTGTAGTTCAATGAAGTGGTCTGTCTGGATAGTCAAACACCACTAGGTACTGTTTATTTGGACCAGCTCGGTATTCATTTGTTTTCTGTGACAACCACATCAAACCTAGGCAGATTCGTCATGATGTTAAATGGGCAGGTACATAAAATTTCCTTATCAAAGTGGGTGCAACAATTCCTGGGGTATAGGGAGGCCCCACACCTTCAGAATAAGCGATGCTCTCAACTCTATCTATATGCTCTTGCTTGCCGTAAGTGGGAATACCCAGAGGGGCCCAAAGGTTATACTATGGCCTGTCCCAATAGGCCTCTGGATTTTCTACTTCCCCACTCCCATGGATAGGCACGGGGGGAGATGCGGACTCACCACCTCCATAAGGGCTGGGTGGTAGTGGCTAATGCATACCCTATTCTTCAATACTGACCTTCTGATTTCTTTAATTTAGTTCCATTAATTAACAATCCAATTAGTCTCTGGTCCAAATATCTGGTTGTGTTTAATGAAGGGGACACAGAGCTGGACAGATCCTTCAAACTATTTAGGATCAATTGATTAGCTTGGCTGGTGTCTAGGCCTTTACAGGCACTGGATATTACTGCATCTACCAGCCTGGATTCTATACAATTTTTTTGGGCTATGACATAAGTGTTGCTGACAGTTTCCAGGCCCAGACCAGCCTGCGATGGTATCTGCTAAGTCCCGTTGCCGAATTAGGTGTTTACCAATTTGATTAGAGAATTATATTGGGGATATTAATGATTATATTGCTTTTGCTTATTAAAGATTTCATATTTGATTGTTGTTGTAAAAGATGTAGTAATAGAAATAGCTTTTATGTTTGTACTAATGATGTAATGTTTAATGAAAATAAAGGTTTAGAAAGGTAGTTGTGCTTTCTAAGGGGGGGACTTGGAGGCAGGAAAAGGAAATAAGGGAATTTGTGTGCAGCCATCTCAGTCTTGTTAACAAGAGAGCAAGAGTCAGGCTAAGTCTGTGGCCTGACAATGCAAGATCTGTGATTAGATGCTGCCTTTGCCTCTCGCCTCCATACGGAGATAAGGATAGAATGCTGACTCTGGCAGGGACCTTGAGATAAGGAGCATCTGGGTGGAACTAAAATAACTGTTAGCCATTGGTGTTTGTAATGGGAAGGAGACTAATTGTTAATTGTTGTTATATCTAATGGACAGTATATCAACTGCTTCATAATTGCTTGTATTCGAAGATCTGCCTCGGGGAGGGGGGGGGCTTCCCCCCCTGTCCGAACCAGTTTTTCCCTTGCTGCAGCTCGTAATAAAACTGCCTCTGGCTAGTGATAGAAATGTAGCCGTGTTAGTCTGGGGTAGCTGAAGCAAAATGCAGGACAATGTAGCACTTCAAAGACTAACAAGATGGTTCACTAAATGATGAGCTTTCGTGGGCCAGACCCACTTGCTACTTGTTGCTTACAAATGCAGAGTGAGGACAATGTTTTTTTCCTCACTAATGACGCTAATTTAGTGACACTTCCAGCCCACTTAATTAGCCTCCTCAGTACCGGTCCTACAACTGACAGGCACCTTTACTTTATCTATTATAAAATACTTGGTTTCTGTTATTCCTCTCCAGTTCATCACCTGATGAAGTGGGTCTTGCCCACGAAAGCTTGTCATCCTTTTCATATTTTTGTTAGTCTCTGAGGCTACGTCTACACTGAAGGATCCATTTGCATGAATCGTGATCTCATTTGCATATTTTCTGCCAATCCATTTTTGTGCTAGAGGTTTTTGCACAAAAACAAGCAGTGCGGACATTTTCTTTTTGTGCAAACCCCCCCTTTTCCGCAAGAGCCTTATGCCCCAAAAAAGGAGGTATACCGATCTTGTGGAAGAAGGGGTTTTTGAGCAAAAAAACTGTCCATGCTGTATGTTTTTGCGCAAAAATGGATCGGTAAAAAATATGCAAATGAGATCGCAACTCATGCAAACGAGTCCCTCGTTAGCATATTTTTTGCCAAGAAAACTCGTAGTGTAGACATAGCCTAAGGTGCCATAGGACTACTTGGTATCTTTTATTGCATTAACTTGTACTGGTGAGAGAGCTAAACTTTCAAACCACACTGCGTTCTACTTCAGATCAGATGAAGAAGAGTTGCGGAGGAATGCTGTGTAGCTCAAACACTTGTCTCTCTCACCAACACAAGATAGATGGCCCAGTAAAAGATAGCAGAAAGGCAAGGGGAGCGAGGTAATATCTTGGGACTGACCCAGCTTGCAAGGATACTGCATACTGTAATTTCTGGTGTTAGTTGCTGCCATCTAGTGTCATTTTAAAAATTAGAACAACTTCAGATTAATTTTGCAAGTGCTAAAGAAAATAGTGTAAATGGAGACACGATGGGTGGAGACGAAAAATAAACACAAAACTTTTAACACATAGCTTGAGCTTAGGCCCCGATTCAGAAATGCACTAAAAGTCATACTTCATTTCATCCTTGTGTTGGGCAATATTTAAGCATGTGCTTCATTACTGTCCTGAATACAGGTGGCTGCCTTAATCTCTCTGGCCTAGTGCCTTAAAGGTTGCCATTATCACATGGCACATAGCATAGGCGGTCCAGAGATTTCTAGCAACATTTTCAAAGTGGTTCTTGGATGAACAACTTATAGTAGGAAGAACATTCCTGAAAGCATAGATGATTCCTACAACCATGTCTAGAGAACTGAGCCAAAGCCCATTGACTGCTGTGTCTTTGTTAGGTTGGATGGAGCCCAAAAATTATGATGACAAAAAAGCGTCAGACTTTGTTAGGTTGGATGGAGCCCAAAAATTATGATAACGAAAAAGCATCAGGGACTCAACTCTGAAATTTCCTGTTTGCTTTAAGCGATAAGCTTTTTATGATTCAATTAGTGCATTTCTTTCTTTGCAAATCAAGGAGGACATTTTAGTCCTTGCAATGATTTGTTATATCTGGCTAACTTATGGTTACAATTTAGGTGGTGTTAATACACCAGGATTAAGCATGTGTCCAGTCCTCCCATTAAAGGTCCCGGAAAGACATCTACTGGCTTTTCTGGGAGGAGAACTGGGACCCCAATACTACAAACAGGTACTATTGGTTCCTGCACAATAAAGACTTTTTTTTATCTCTCTGTAGTTTTGCCCATTTGCAGCAAGTATCTTAAGTGCTTAAAAAGAAACTCCAAACTCAGCTCTCTGTGAAGTGATCTGTGTTTTTTAACGACGAGGAGTCCTGTGGCACCCAATCAAGTCAGAGAGGAAGTGGGTCATTCACAGCATTTGGTGTGGAGCTATGAATATTGAGAGCGGGTACACTGCCTTTGTAATGTGTTAACCAGTCGACATGCTTATTCAGTCCTAAGTTGATAGTGTTGAATTTGCACATGAATTCCGGTTCAGCTGTCTGCCACTGTAATTGGGTTTTGAAATTCTTTTGTGGAAGGAGGACCACTTTCAAATCCATTACTGAATGTCCAGGGAGATTAAAGTGTTCCCCTATCGGTTTTTGTGTAGTCTCTAAAGTGCCACAAAACTCCTCACTGTTTTTGCAGATACAGACTAACACAGCTACCTCTCCACAGTTTTTAAGTCGTCTTTTCACCTCGATGATCGATATCATGTCCAGTACAATGATATTGATTGCAGATTAAAACAACTTCAGATTAGAACACTTGGCTTTCATAAAATAGTTGACCGTCGTTGCTTGAACATTTTCCAGCAATAGAATTTTTGATGGAAAAAAGAAATCACGGGGGCATGCTCTGGTCAGCTCTATTAAGAAATGCGAAGTGTGTTTTTATGTGAATAAAGTTATCCGAGTGAAGGGACTGATCTTGCCTCCCTCTTTCACCTGGAATACCTTATCCCCCTGAGATCTCCCACTGAATAAGGTCCTACTCAATATAACATTAGAAAAGAAGCAGCATGTGGGGAAGAACTGGCATTGTCCCACCATATCTTTGGGAGATCTTACTGAAGAAAAATGTATCATGGTGGGATTGTCTGTAGTGCCACTGGGAGGAGTGGCCACAGCCCTCCAGGAGCTATGAATGGTGGGGCATGATTAGGCAAATTCATTCAGCTTGCAACACATCCAGAGAGCTACCACCACCAAGAGAGGCTCGCCCAAGCTGGTTCAGACTGGATTCTCCAGAGACCAACAGACTAAGATGACTCAGGGCCGTTTTTTGATGGATGGGAATTTCTTCCTAAGGGGGTCTTGATAGGCTTTGGCTACTGAGGCCCCTGGGATTGCTGGGTAACCACAGGTAAGTTTTTTATCATTTGTATAGGAACTCTGATGGTTTCTATTGTTTTCCCTGTAGTGCTTGCTTCTTGTGAAAAGTGCTTGCTTAGAAAGAGCTGTGTGGAAACACCGAACTGCTGGCAATTACACTGTTCAAAGCCTCTGAAGAGAGACAGAAGGGCAGACACAGAGGCTACGTCTACACTGACATGATTTTCTGGAAATACTTTTAATGGAAAAGTTTTTCATTAAAAGCATTTTTGGAAAATTGCATCTAGATTGGCAGGACACTTTTCCGCAAAAGCACTTTTTGCGGAAAAGCGTCCGTGGCCAATCTGACACGGTTTTGCACAAAAAAGTCCCGATCGCCATTTTAGCCATCTGGGCTTTTTTGCGCAAAACAGTACTGTGCTGTTTACACTGGCCCTCTTGCGTAAATGATTTGTGCAAGAGGGCTTTTGCCCGAACGGGTGCAGCACAGTCTTTCCGTAAGAACACTGACGATCTTACATGAGATCGTCAGTGCTCTTGCGGAAATTCAAGCGGCCAGTGTAGACAGCTGGCAAGTTTTTCTGCAAAATCATATGATTTTATGGAAAAACTTGCCAGTCTAGATACAGCCAGAGTGTCTGAGCTGTCTGGCTTGATGGGGATATTATAGTGTAAGCAGGAAACTATGCAGCCTGGTAAAACCCTGGTCAGGACAGAGAATAAGGTGGCTTCCTGTCCAAGAGAGATTACACTGGGAGCCTAAAATGTGTGTCCTTGAGGAAACATGGAGAGGTATACAGGTGGAGGCACCCTGAGCTGTGGCAGCATGGACTAGCAGTTAGGGCTATGGGTTAGGACTCAAGAAAGTAGGCTTCTATTCTTGGCTCTGCCACTTATCTGTTGCATGACCTTGGACATGTCATTCTACCTTCCTATGCTTGAGTTTCCCTTGACACCCTGCGTCTGTTCCAACTGTAAGCTCTTAGGGGCAGAGACTGTCTCTTGCTAGGCGTAAATACTCCACATCTAGCATATGAAGGCATTCATTTCAGTTGGTGCCTCCTACTATACTGTGATATAAATAAATAATAATAAGAAGAAACAAGCTGAAAGAAAGCACACATCTTTTAAAGTTTAGATTGTATTGCTGTAACGCTAACTTGGGCGTTTCTCCTCAGTTCTCTCAATTCATTATACTATGGCTCTCCATGAATAAATGCCAACAGATGCTGAGCTCCAAAGAGATCTCTGACTATTTACTGCTCTTCTGTGCCTATTCCGGGTCCATGTTGCCAGAGCTAGAGCTGGGGGGAAAATGTCAGGACCGTTTAATGTCTGGCTTTTGTTTTATTGAGCGCATGGCATGGGGAACGCTGACTGTTAGAAATATTGGACTTGCAGAAACTTGAACCCGCTGACCTGCCGCAAGTAATCACATCTGAAATGCTCCTCAGCCAGCAGGATGGGGCAGCGGTGCGAAAAGCAAAGGTAGGTGTTCCTGCGGTAAGAGGGAAAGTCAGGCAAAACTGCCATATTCGCATCCCTGCCTAGCACAGCACTCTGCGAAATTCAAGTAGCCTGCAGCTTTCTAGACACTGCTTTGGTCATTTACAGGGCCTGAACTGAAGCCCAATGGAGTCAGAGTGAGTCTCCTCACTGGATTTTGGATCTAATTCATAGTCAGCCACTTCCCACCAGGCATGCTGCATCCATGTGCGTCTCTCCCTAATCTCTCATGAGAGACCAAATCACTCATTTTAAGACCAAATCGTCTACTAGACGATGCTCATGGAGCCCCATCACAGCCAACGTGGTTGCAGCAGCGTGAGTGCAGGTTGTTTATCCCAGGCGGCCACCTGAGAGCAAATTGACCACAACGATGAGTATATGGGAGGGATGGGCAGAGGAGTAGAAATCTGACATTTGAAGAGCATTTGAGCAGCTCTTTTGAACAGCTGTCTGGGCCGGAGAGTGTTCCATTTCAGGCGGGAGCCTGGTGAGGCCATGGAAGTCAAGGGGAAACTTCCTTTGGACTCCACGGGGGAATACTGTTAGGCCTCTGACTGGCACAAAGAAAAGACGAGGGCGGCTGCAGTCTCTTCCTCGTGAGCAGCCTGGCAGATGGGCTCAAGCTAGAGCAATTGCAGTCTAGCACCTGTAAGCCCAGGAGTCAAAATGCCATTTGCTAATATTGAGGGTCTCTGCTTTTTGAATGTTCAAGGGGAAACCCTTAAGGGTCAGCTCCTCGGACGTATTTGGATACCTCACTCACCTGATTTAACAGGAGTTAGACCCCTAGGGTACGTCTAAACTACATGTCTCTGTCGGCAGAGGCATGTAGATTTGTTTGTTCAGCAAAGGCAAATGAAGCCGCGATTTAAATGATCGCGGCTTCATTTACATTTATATGGCTGCCGCGCTGAGCCGACAAACAGCTGATCAGCAACCATGTGGCAACCCCGTTATTCCTCGTGGAATGAGATTTACCGGGGCTGCCGACAAAGGGCTTTGATGTCGACAGGGGGAACGTCCAGACTAGCGCGCGAGCCGACAAACAGCTGATCAGCAACCATGTGGCAACCCCGTTATTCCTCGTGGAATGAGATTTACCGGGGCTGCCGACAAAGGGCTTTGATGTCGACAGGGGGAACGTCCAGACTAGCGCGCGAGCCGACAAACAGCTGATCAGCTGTTTGTCGGCTCAGCGCGGCAGCCATGTAAATGTAAATGAAGCCGCGATCATTTAAATCGCGGCTTCATTTCCCTTTGCCTATGTGTCTAATCTACATGCTTCTGCCAACAGAGGCATGTAGTCTAGACACAGCCCTACAGACCTCTGCCAGCTGAGCATCGGGGCCTGGTTTTCAGAGCTGTGGCCAGCAACTGGCTTCCACAGCAGGCAAGCCGCAGTCCCTGTGTGCAGTAAGTGTTCTCACTGTGCTGAGTGACATTGCACTGGACTTCATGGCGGGTGGTGCCCGTTTGGTTTTAACCATGGAATGCCTTTATTTGCTAATTGACTTTGATGAGTGCCAAGGACGCTTTGAAAAAAACACCCAGCTGTCGCCTGGTGAGCATCCAAAAATGCGCCTCATGGGAGTTGCAGCTTTCCTCTTGTGACTTAATACTCTGTAACATCACAGCGACAGCACAGATGAGGGCGGTATTTATCAGAGCAAGAGGAGAACAGCGCGAGCGCCGTATTGTCAACCCCAGGTGTTGAAAAGTGACGGGCCAGTCCCCTCCCCCCTAATCATGAGATTATTTTTAAAATCTCATTTTAAAGCCAGTCATGGGGCGGAGGGTGGGGGGAGAGTTCTTTTATTTGTCGCCTCCTGTTGGCCAATTTGGGGAGGGGGGTGTCAAATTTTCAACTTCTCTGCAACCTAGTGGGTCAGAAACTTACCTTTCAAAAAAAGTTACACGGAGATCAAGCAATTAAGTGATCCCCATTGTTGGAGCTTTAAGAAAGCCACCAGCTATTGTAGGCCTTGCAATCAGTTGATCAGCGTTGATGATGCTGCAAAGAAACTCAGTGAGTGGCCTCTTCATGCACGGAAGGGTATGAAGACAGATTTTATAGCGATTAGCAGATGCGTGTTTCAAACACTGTTTTCTTTCTTTTGTTATTACCCTGCAAGGAGCTGGAGAAGCAAGTGCAGACAGCCAAACACTCCTCTGGAAGACGCCAGCACTTGCACAAACTGCAGATGTTAGAAATGAACCGCAGGCGAGACGAGGTAAAGCCGCAGTTTGGAAGGTGTTGGAAAGAAGCAGTGGGAACTGGAATGATAAAATCCAGGCCCGGGCTCAGCTAGGCTGTAACCAGGCCAGTAGGGCTGGTTGCGCAGCATCCGGATTCAGCTCAGGAAGGGAGACTCCAGACTCTTTTCTCTAATGGGCCGGGTTCCTCTCTAGACCCAGCCTTTGTCTTCATCGCCTCTTGCGTCTGCTCTTTGGTCCTCAGCTTTGTATTTGAATGTCATGACTCTTCAGTGGTTGTCATTGTGCCACCTAGTGGTGGATTAGCCACTGGGCCAACGGGGCCTTTCCACGGGGGCCTCAGTCAACTGGGGCCCCCCCAAATGCTTGCTGGGTGCTCCGGCTTGGGTGCGGGCTTGAGGTGCCGGGGCTTGCCCTTCTCTGCCCTCCTTGGCTTATGCACCAGGCAGAGCACCAACCCTGTGCAGATTAGCCACTGGGCCAACGGGGCCTTTACACGGGGGCCTCAGTCAACTGGGGGCCCCCCAAAATGCTTGCTGGGTGCTCCGGCCGGGTTGCGGGTTTGAGGTGCCGGGGCTTCCCCTTCTCTGCCCTCCTTGGCTTATGCACCAGGCAGAGCTCCAACCCTGTGCACCAACCTCATTTTCCCAGCAGGGGTGCTAAGGACTGAAGGGTTGGAAAGGGTCTTCCAGTTGCTTTAGCTCCGGCCCTCTCTCTCCCACCCCAAAACCCTCATCTGCCCCTGCAATTCCATTGCCAAAATGACATGAAGGATTTTCTGATGACATCAACTCAATGTATTGACTCCCAAAGCCAACTGGAGCTAGCATCGTGCCTGAAGAGCAGTTCTCTGGGCCACGTTCTATTCTGTCACACTCTTATTGACCCCCATGAAATTGGACTCAGGTAATACAGGTTGAACCACTGTAATCTAGCATGCTCTGGTTTGGCAACATCTGTGGTCCGGCATGATTTTAGTTAGCCAGATGTGCACGTATGAGGGTGGCCGTTACCTGTAGTCCCATAAAGTGTATTTAGAGCCACCAGTTCTGGCTCTCAGTCTCCTGTGCTGTTATTTAGCTCTAATTTACCCTCAAGGGTACCTTTACACAGCACCATTATTTTGGAACAATGGACGTTATTCTGAAATAACGTATTGCGCGTCTACATAGCAAGCTCATTGTTTTGAAATAAATTCAAAATAACGGGCTTTTTACTCTGACTTCTATAAACCTCAATGTAGGAGGAGTAAGGGAAGTCGGCGGAAGACTGCTCTATTTTGAAATAAGTGCTATGTAGATGTGCCCAATTTCTAAATAAGCTATTTCAACTTAAGCTATGCAATTAGCGTAGCTCAAGTTGCTTAGCTTATTTTGAGTTTAGCCCTGCTGTGTAGATGTACCCTAGATGTACCCTAAATGTCCTCTAACAGCCAAGAGGGGTAGCCGAGTTAGTTTGTAACTGGGGAAAAAAACCCTAAAAAAACAATGGATGGTCCTGCAGCACCTTAGGCTTTGTCTACCCTACAAGTTTTTGCGGCAGAGAGTATGCTAATGATGGACTCGTTAGCATGAGTCGCGATGTCATTAGCATATTTTCTGCTGATGCTTTTTGTGCAAGGGGTTTTTGCGCAAAAAGAAGCAGTGTAGCCTCTTCCGTTTTGTACAAAAATCCCCTTTTGCGTAAGATTCTTATGCCTCTCTCTTCTTATGCATTTGAAAAGGGCAGCGCTGCATGGAGCTGGGGGTCAGCTGGGGACTCCAGCTGACCCCGGGCTCCGCCTTGTGCTTCCCCTTTGAAACGCTGTCCCAGTGCTTCAAAGGGGCAGCTCTGCATGGAGGCCGGGGTGGGGACCCCGGGCTCCATGCAGCGCTGCCCCGTTGAAACGCCATGGTAGCATTTCAAAGGGGAGGCACACACAACGCTGCCCCGTTGAAACGCCATGGCAGCATTTCAAAGGGGAGGCACACACAGTTAATCACAATTAACTTTTTTAGTTGCTTGACAGCCCTAGTTATTTGACTAGTTATATGAGTCTCTGCTGATGCTTTAGAGAACAAAAGCCTTGTATTTATCTCAGAACCTAAGGGTGTGTCTAGACTACAGTAAGTCGACAGAACGCGGCAGTTTTGTTGACGGTGGTAAACCTCGTTTTCCACGGAATAACGCCTTTTTTCAAACGTACTCTTTCGAAAAAGGGCGCTATTGAATGCAAACTGTGCTTTTTCGAAAGAGCATCTACACTCTCTTTCGAAAAAGCGGCTTGCTTTTCTACAGAACTGGTTGTAGTCTAGATGCTTTTTTTCAACAGAGGCTTTGTCAACAGTATCTATCGACAAAGCCTCTGTCGGAAAAGGCGTGCAGTCTAGATGTAGCCTAAACTTCCTCCCTCTGCCAGTAGGGAGCAGGCTGGCTCACGCATGTTATCTCCGGCAGTAGTCATTACCTTAATGATAAGGGCCCACTATAGCAGTCACTGCTGGAGTTTTTTTCTATGGCTCTACGATAGTCACATAGACTGTGGTGCTGGAAATCTCACGTTCAGTCCTGCCTGGTGGATGTTGTTTTATATGCTCTCTCCCTCCCTCGCTCTCCGTAAGGCAGAGACAGGCCTGAGGAGACAGTGTTTCCCAGTGGCTAAAGTACTGGACAGAGTGAAAAGACCTGGGATCTATTCCTAGGTCTGCTCCATGGCATCCTTGCAACCTCCTGTTTACAGACGGAGAAAATAACACTGTGTGAAACATTGAGACTTTCCGAAGAAAGATGCTATACAAGGGCTTGGAGTGATATGTTTTTCTTAAGTTACATGATGGGAATGAAGATACAAATATCAGTAGGAGGGAGAGAAGCACAGAGTTTAGTATTTTTGTTCCGTAGATGGTCATTGAATTTAGTATCTGTTATCTGTTATTTCCTGGAAAAGCCGAGCAATTATTCCTTATTTGAAATATTAGCCCTCTGTTGACCATTGACCACAGATGAACTGAGAACTAGGGATGTTAATGGGTAACTGGTTAAATGGTTCTCAGTGATGCTTACCAGGTAAAGGTTAACTAGTACCACAGAAGCAACCCCCAGGCCTTGGCTCAGCTGCGGGCACAGGGTCGCTCCAGCCCTGACAGGCTCCCCATGTGGGCTGGGAGCTGGCAGCCCCCATGCAGGGCCAGCTGCAGCAGCCCCCACAGGGTGGGAGCCATGGTGGCATCCCCCATGGTGGGGCTGGGAGCCGTGGAAGCTGGAAGCCATGCTGGCAGCAGCACCCTCACACGGAAACCGGAAGCCACAGAAGCAGGCCCCATATGGGGGGTCTAGAGAGGCCCCATCTGCCCCCCCTTTAATCGGTTAAATGGTTAAACACAGTGTTTGTACTGCATTTAACCATATAACCAATTAAAAGGATTTTACATCCGTACTGAGAACTCAGGTAGATTGCCAATCAGACAGGGCCCAATGCTGCAAACTCAAAGTTATTCAAGTGTGTTTCTGTTTGCAGAATTAGGCCTTTTGCCCAAAGGCATGCTGAGTTTAGAGGGCAAACCTTTGAGAAACAAGTTACCTATTTACTCCTCTATTCCTCATACAGATGAATCATTTACAAAAGCAGGAGGAACAGGAGAGAAGTCTCCACAGGGAGGCAAAAATCAACAAACAAAAAACGGGGGAGCTCAAGGCTAAGAAAGTCCTGGGAAATCTTCAGCAAAACAATTGCTCTGAAGGTGAAGACCTTGTCCCCATCGAGCATGATCAAACTTTTAATAGAGATCATGGTAAGTGGAGTCATTTTTTCCATGAAATGAAAACTTCCAAGCATCAAGTAAGTTTCATTATAAGGAAGCTAGTGATTGGTGACCTTAAACACCTTGCAGCTTTGTGGTCACCTGGAATGTCCTAGTGATTGGTGACCTTAAACACCTTGCAGCTGTGTGGTCACCTGGAATGCACCCTACATGAGGCAAAGATGGAATTCAGCATGGCCTCCACGAAGTAGAGTTAAATATGGCAGCACTGCGATAAGATGTAGGATTGGGCTTTGTTTCTCTCTGCACGGACACTGCAGCAGTGTGGGCTATTCCTGCAGAGTGCATGACGTTAAGGGTGCATCTACAGTGCACCTGTAGGTCGACATGAGATACACAATTTGAGCTCCGCAAATTGTGTATCTAATTTCAAAATAAAGTGCTATTCTGAAACATCCCTCAACCCTTGTGGAACGAAGGTTACAGGGGCACGGGAAGAGCACGCCCGTTATTTTGAAATCTATTTTGAAATAACGGGCGTGTTTGAAGACACGGAATAGTTATTTCGGGATACTTCCGGTATCCCGAAATAGTGCTGCTGTCTAGACGTAACCTCAGACAGTAATCAAGTCTTTATTTTCTAAGAGTGACCACTTACTAATTAAGACATGCCCAGTTAATTTGACCAACAAACTGAATGAAATGATCCTGGCAGTTTCTTCAATGCAGCACAGATATTTACATTAGAAAAGAAACAAAGTAAAAAACCAAGCTACCTGAAAAGGCTTGATTTCCCTGCATGGCACTGGGCCAAGTTCATCCTTGCTGCCAGTACATGGACCTGCAGGATGTGAAACTCCGGTGTGGTTGCGCTCATTAGCAGAGCTAATGGGACTTTAGGCTGGTGCACTGCCTTGTGGTGGAAGTTGGTATAACAAGCTCTCCTCATTTATCACCCCCTATTAACGCTTTGCTCCATGACTTACCCTGAAGGGCTGTGCAGGAGCAAAGCGGAAGTCCAACAAACAAGAGCACCTCAAGTTCAAGCAAGTCTTTGGCCTGAGTCCTGACACTCCTGGTCTCTGTGGTCTTTGCAACCCCTGCCCAGTGTCTGGCAAAGGAACTCAAAACCTCCCTTTTTCCCGAACTCCAGTCTAGGGACCCAGGGCTGTCCTTACCTGGATGCAGAATAGGCAGCTGCGTAGGGCACCTGAAAATCTGGGGCACCGCTGGGTCTTCATGTCCATTCACCCGCCTCTTCTTATCCCTGTTCTGTGACTGCTTCCTCCAGAGAGGATCTAGATAATTTAAAAGTGACAGAGTCCGCCAGAGCGATTGGCAGAACACTGGACCTGGGAAAGAGCCGTTCACGTGGGAATGAAGCCATTGAACAGGCATTTGCCAACCCCAGGTATATTCTGTCAGTTTCTGAATTTATTATGTTAGTAGACAAGCCCTTAGTTTAAAATTTGCTTTAAAAATATTTCACTAGTGTGTTGCTGAAGACTATAAAATCTTCCTCCTCCCGGGCTGCCATTGGGGCACCAGTTTAATAGTACTGCTTTGGGCCCCATAAATCCTAAAGATGGCACTGCAGGGCCCTATAATAAACCAGCAAGATCTGTCCAGTCAGGCACCCTGCTCCCCACACACACACTTACCTTTGGGATTCTTCCTATGTCAGCCTGTTTGCTTTTCTCACCTGCCCCTTCCTGGGCGCTTGACTTCTTCTCAGGCTCCCCTAGAGCTCAGGCTCTGCTCTGCTTTCAGGGCCAAGCCTCACAGGACTCCTGCTGGAGTTCGCTAACAAATCCCACAACACAAGCAGCGAGCTCAACCATGGCCGTCCGTCTGCACCCTTCATGAGTCACCCCCCACCCTCAGCTCAACACTGATATCCCAGAGTTGCCCTCTGGGAGTCTTGCCCCTATTTGGAGACCTACCCCAGGAGACAGCTCCCCGCCCGTGGCTTTTCCCAAATTCTCATCTCTCGGGGCATCACCTGGGGCAGGTTTGGGTCAGGAACTCCCAGGATCTTGTCTCCTGGGTCTTCCTCTAACAAAGCTTGCTCAGTCCTTTTAAGGAAACCTGGTTCCTTTCCAGGTAGGAGGGCTAAGGCACCCACCTACCTCCCCTTGCTCCAGGTGATGAATTGAGCTCTCTGTCTCCTATTAACCCTCTCAGGACCAGCATGGAGTTCACACCCATGCCACAAATACAGTTATGTGGTGGGGAGGGGAAGAAAGAAGTAGAGTGGGAGAGGCACTTCCAGGCAGGTGAGAAATTGGGCAGTGATTGACTAGAGTCCTCTGATTGAGGGGTGCTGTTGGGGTTTTCTCTAGGTGGGAAAGGAGAAACAGGGCCCAGAATTCCTGTCAGCTCTGGGGTCTGGAATTCCTGTCAGCGAGCCTGCACAGCAGAATAACTTTGGTCTTTAGACCCATCCGGCAGGCTGGGATCATGCGAACAAATCTGAGGAGAGCCAAAGAAAGCTCCTGGCAAGAGCAGTACGTGTAATGTTTTTGCTTCCTTAGCGTTGAGAAGAGAAAGGAGCAAAAGCCGCGGTAGTTAGACTTCTAGGAGAGCATTACGGGCACAATGGAGAACAGGACTTCCAGACAATCTGCTTCTATTTTCAGTGCCAGAGTTTTCCCCACGGTCTGTCCAGTTTGTACACGTCTCCATAGCAACAGGAGGATGTCACAGGGTACAGTTCTCATTACCAGACTGGCGTCTCCTCCTAGGGATTAACTCCAGGCCAGCACCCCCCTCCAGCATCTGCACACCAGCACTCTGCCTCTGCTCCCACCTGTGGCTCCTCTCTTAGCTCTACTGCAGCAACCTCTTTGCGACCCCGCCCTCTGGCTATGTTGCCATCCATGTTTCCCACTCCCTACCCTATTGTCCAGTCACTTCTCCAGCCGCAAGTGGTGAGGAGGAAACCGAGGCCTACCCAGCTCCAGCCCAGGCACCTTGTAAATACCAACCTCCTGCTGCTCCTCTATAATCTCTATTAATGCTGCTCCATTTCTCTAGGCCACTTCCCCATGGCCCTAGCTCCTACTTCATCCTCACCTCAGTCCCAGGAGCTAGCCACTGCTCTGTCCAATGTGTTTATAGTTCTCTCAACCCTCTGGGGATACAGTTCTTACTCTCTGGGCTCCCAGAAGCAACAGATTCTATGCTACCCTGTGGCTCCCTTTTATCTGAGCCTGCAAGCCCTGGATTGGTTGCTCCCTGCAACTCCTTTTTGATTGGCTGTGCTTCATGCAGCCTCTCTGGGCCACTCGGAGGACTCACCTCCATTGCTCACAGGCCACGCCAGGCCTTAGCTGACTGTACTGAAAAATGACATGGGTTGCCATTTGGATAGCTAGAACAACATAACCTGCCTCCTGATGGAATACCTTGAAATGGGGCTTTGTGATTGAATGGCTGGAGTCAGCTGAGGACAGCAAAACAATATCCAGCCAACCCTGAAGTGACACTGTTCTGGAGAGGGGCTTTTGAGACTAAGCCGGAGTCTGACTCCTTTTGATGAAGCATTTGAGTGGCTACATCTGCTCATTCCATGTACGTGTGTCCCTTGGCAGAATTTGCTCAATACCACAGTGACTCATCCATGACCTACCTGTCAGGTTGCAATGTAGTTAGCTGCTAATTACACTATGCTTAAGGCACAGTCCTAGCAATTAATACAAATTCACTGTGGAGAGGGTTCCTGTCCCCGCTAATTCATTTGATGAAAAGTCACAGAGGGGAAGTCATGTTAATCTGTATCTTCTGGTGGGGAAGAGGAGTCCGGTGGTACCTTATAGACTAACAGATTTATTAGGACATAAACTTTTGTGGGTAAAACCCACTTCATCAGATGAACTGGAGTGGGAATTACAGAGGCAGGAATTTTATACACACACACCCACACACCCACCCAAACAAGGAAGTCCATTGGATGAAGATGTCATTCCAAACTCCTTCTCTGAGCCTTTGAACTCTGTTTACACTTTTTTTCCCCCACACTGCTCCACAGTCTGATTCAGATATCATGGTCCATCCAGACTAATGTCAATGAAGTTGTAGACATACAATGGTGAGGTATGAAACAAGCTCTTCTGAGTGTTTTGAAGTGGGGCAAGATTCAAATCTCTGCAGTAATAATGTCACTGAAATAAATGAAGATTGACAGTGATACAGCTGGGATCAGAATCCGGTTACTTTGTCCGCACCCTCATTTTCTTACTACAATTTAACTTTCCTCTTTACACTTGTGGGTTTCCTCTTCTTGATTTGTGAAGGCCCAGCACTGTGTAGGAAGCGCTATTGTCATAATTATATCAACTATCTTCTGCTTATACTACATAATCATAACTAAGAGCTGAAGGCCTGTGTTGTTGCACAGTGGTATAGTCAAGGCCATGATAAAAACTTGAACATGACTCGGATCTTCAAAAATGGACAGTTCCAGCCTGCGTATGCCAGTGACGATTGAACCTGCTGGTATCTTGAACAAAAAGAGCTCTTAGCCATGCCTGAGGCTGTTTCTCTCACTTAACTCTGACTCAACAGTGAGAGAACAGCTACCATATCATAGAATCCTAGGGCTGGTGGCAGAGACCTCAGGAGTCAAAGTCCAGCCCCCTGTCCGAAGCAGGACCAACCCCAACTAAACCATCCCAGCCAGGGCTTTGTCAAGCCAGGTCTTAAAACCTCTAAGGATGAAGAGTCCACCACCTCCCTAAGGAAGCCATTCCAGTACTTCACCACCTGCCTAATGAAATAGTTTTTGCTAATATCCAACCTAGACCTCCCCCACTGTAACTTGAGACCATTGTTCCTTGTTCTGCCATCTGCCACCACTGACAGGTTCTCTAGAACCTCCCTTCAGGACGTTGAAGGCTGCTATCAAATCCCCCCTCACTCTTCTCTTCTGCAGACTAAATAAGCCCAAGTCCCTCAGCCTCTCCTCATAGGTCATGTGCTCCAGCCCCCTAATCATTTTGGTTGCCCTCCGTTGCATCCTCTCCAGTGTGTCCACATCCTTTCTATAGTGTCAAGGAGAGGAGAGATTATATGAGGAGAGATTAATAAAACTGGGACCTTTCAACTTGGAAAAGAGACAACTTAAGGGGGAATGTGATGGAGGTATATAAAATCATGACTGGTGTGGAGAAAGTAAATAAGGAAGTGTTATTTACTTGTTCCCATAACACAAGAACTAGGGGTCACCCAATGACATTTATAGGTAGCAGGTTTAAAACAAACAAAAGAAAGTACTTCTTCATAGAACATAGTCAACTTGTGGAACTCCTTGCCAGAGGATATTGTGAAGTCCAACACTATGACAGGGGTCAAAAAAGAGCTAGATAAATTCATGGAGGATAGATCCATCAATGGTTATTGCCCTGGATGGGCAGGAATGGTGTCCCTAGCCTTTGTTTCTCAGAAGCTGGGAATGGGCAACAAGAGATGGATTACATGATAATTACTTGTTCTGTTCATTCCTCTGGGACACTGTCAGAAGACAGGATACTGGGCTAAATGGACCTTTGGTCTGACCCAATACGGCCATTCTCATATTATGTTTTTAACAGACATTTTAGGCTTCAGAGAGATATTTGGGGTTATTGGGTATGCTGATTATGTTATTAGGTGGGCAATTGCATTGATTTATATTGAGAGAGTTGTACTGAGAGATTGATGTTGATTTCTCCAGGCAGTGAGTGAGAGGTGCGCATTGCAGGAAAGGCTATGTATGTTTCAGGTTACTGTGTGTGCAAGTTGTATTGTGCTGATTCATGTTTGGGAGATTGTGCTGGAAGATTTGTGTTGATTTATGTAGGTGGCAGTTGGGTATATGGGTGTGGCATCTGGGCCAAGAACTCCTCCCACTGTGCAGTCTCTTTCATACAACCTATGAAATTGTTCCATGCAAATTAGCTGCAGGGTCAGCGTGGTGATTGGTTGTGTTACCTCTTATATCACAGTGGCGGAGGACACTTGACATGGTGTCAGTACATGTCAGTACTACCTAGCGGTAGTTGTACACAGTACGGATGTAATTTATAAAGTCAAAATGGCTGGAAACTTAAATATCAAGAGGGTAACAGATCAGGGGCGCCATTTCAGATTTTGGTAGGGAGAGGCCGACGTGTGCATGCCCTGATGGGGAGCGGGGAGAGAGTGAGACAATATGGGGGGAAGGGAAGAGGACAGCGGCTTCAGCAGTGTTGCTGAGCATGCTCAGTACAAGCCAACCAGTAATGTGGGAGGAGGGGAACAATTCCATTCACCCTCCCTCCCCCCACTCACAAACACATCACCTCTTTCTAGGGCTACTAAGGCACTGGAAAATTGTAAGTTTTTTGGCAGATAACTTAGCAATTAGCTTAAAAGAAAGAAAATTTAAATTAGACACATTCAGCTCTAATATTAACATGTTCTGACATCTTATGGCAAGTCACTTAAAAGACACTGATTAGCCGTAACATTTTAATATATCGTCTTACTTTTTTTACTAACTGCACAGAGAGAAAGAGAGAGAGAAAGACTGTCAGATCTCCTCAGCTCTATTCTCAGTGCTGGAAGTGGAATGGGGTTTAGTGGGTTACAGCACGGGCAGATACATTTGGGCTCTATATAACATCAAAAGGGCCCTACTGGGTCAGATCAATGGTCCCTCTAGCCCAGTATCTTGTCTTCCAACAGTGGCCAATGTCAGGTGCTTCAGAAGAGGTATTCATCAAATGGTCCATCCCCTGTTGCTCATTTCCAGCTTCTGGCAAAGAGAAACTAGGGACACTACAGGAAATCCCTGTGTTAAGACAGCCCGAGTTCCAACCCCCCACACTTATGACCATTTTTGTAAGTGCGGAAAGGGGCTGAAAACCCCCGACTTACATCCTCAACCCCACATTGTGCGGAAAGGGGCTGAAAACCCCCGAGTTACAACACCCCCAACTTGCTACACTTCCCCAGGAACCGATCACGTCGCAAGTCAGGGGGGGTTCGCAGCACTTGGATCTGGCCAGTCGCTTTTCCTGGCTTCCCGGCTCAGTGCCCGATGTACACGCAGCGGGGGTGGAGAATTGGCAGGAGAGTGGCCCGAGAATTAAAGGGTCTGCTTCCTTTTTTTTTTCCTCAACCAAATTTGGCGGCCCCTATGGGGGGCTTGCATGAGAAAAGGTTGTTCACCACTGTGCTACAGCACCTGACACTTCCAGTCTGAGAATCTTTTTTACATAAGGAGAAAAAAGAAAAATAATAGTTTGCTTTGCACACATTTTGGAATTGGGTCTTGGATTCCTCCGATGTGACTCCACCTATCCATAGCAAGCCCTTGCTAACCCCTCAGCAATTGGGTATACTATCCAGTGTAATTAAGAAGATTTTCTTGTTTCTAGGAAATACTTGGGATGGAGAATTCATAGTGCGACATGAGGATGCTGAATCCTATCCAAATAAGAGCAGTAAAGTGGAAATGTGGTTTGTAAAGCCTCAGGATCCTAGAGATCTATTTTGGGACAGCTCTAGCACTGACTCAGAGGAATGGAAAAGAGAAGAGAGAAAGCTCAGTCGTAGACCTGCACTAGTGAGAACCAGGACGGAGAGAATCCCTCTGTTTGATGAGTTCTTTGATTAGGAATTTTAACTACAAACAGGATGGGACTGGAGCTACGCACAGAAAAAAAACTCCTCAGTCTCTGATTATGCTTTAACAGTCTGGTTGGATAAACTGAAGTTGTTAAGAATGACTTTTCTTGTGAAGTAAACAGAGTTTGTGCAGGTATGAAGAAATACAAAGCAATACTGCCAATGCCAATATGTCCAAACCGATGTATCTTTGCAGGTCTCAAATGGCCACAATTGTAAACGTGAATCTGCTCTGTGGAAAAATGAGAACTGCAGGGGTATAGACAATGATACCCTGGAACTGAAATGATTTAGCATGCACCTGTTTAACACAACTGAGATGGGGTACATTGGAGAATACCTTTGAACAAGGAATAAAGGGTAAAACTAGTCCTACAGTCCTGACACAGGCAGAATGCCCATTGATTTTGGCAGGAGTTTTGCATGAGTCAGGATTGTAGGATCAGATGACCCAGCTCTCAGGAGAATTACCCTCTGCTGTGGTCTCATTCTCCTGCTCACCTCATTACCTTTGATCTGCCCTCTTCTCTTTTAAGATCCTCTGGGAGGAGGAGAAACTCCTTCAAAGTAGCCTGTAGGCCCCTAACCTGACACATCCTCACCCTTTTGTCCTATTGAAATGTACATGTATCTAAGCACATATAACCTCCAGCGGAAGGATTTGAACCTGGGCCCTCTGATGCTTTGTGTAGGAGCCTCTACAGCTTGAGTTATAAAACCAGCTGACGCTCAGTTTGGGCTATAGAACTCACTCAGTCTTATCTCTCACTATAAGTGGTCTAGGTGCCATTACTTGAAACAGTGAACCACACCCTACTGAAGTCAACTGATTTATAAAGATATGAGAGCAACAAGTAATAAATAAAGCAACACAAAATAAAGAAAGATAATTGAGCTCAGTTACTCCAAATTTCACTGGAGACCACCCCACGGTTACACTCATATGGATTTATTAAATGAGGAATTAACAATCCACTACAGGATTAAACTCAAGGGGATTGAGCTGTCATTGAATGCCACTATTGGGTTAAACTGAGGGTGACTGAGCTCTCTCTCTCACCCACACTCACACACACACAAATCCATTCACACATTCATTCATGCCCTCAGGCACTCACACACTTACCCAGGAAAAAGGTTGCAGAGCAAGCCAAAGTATATTGACTCCGGAGGTTTTCCCTTGCCACGGATCCAGGCCCGCGATCAGGTCAGAAAGAGGCTTCTGCACCGTTCTCTCTCCTTTTATTGGAACTGGGTGGCTCCTGTCATTAGGATTGCCATGTGTCCGGTATTGACCCAGGCAGTCCAGTATTTTCACCTCCTGTCTGGTAAAAAAAATTCAGAAAATACCGGACACCTAAAATGTCTGGTATTTTCTGATTTTTTTCCCCTGCCAGGAGGCAAAAAATACTGGATACCTGGCAATCTTACGACTCTCAGCAACTAGGCCCAACCCTGGTTTCCCCCCCCTAAATACTGGATACCTGGCAATCTTACGACTCTCAGCAACTGGGCCCAACCCTGGTTTCCCCTCCCTCCCCCGACAACTCCCACCTCACCCCGCTTACCCGGCTCCACAGGGGCTTGTCTTGTGGCTGAAATAGAAAAACAAAATGGCCACCTGCAAAAAAAGCCTCTTCCTAAAGGGGCCATGATGATTTTTTTTTTTTTTTTAAATCAACAACTTCTCTCTCCCTCTTTTTTTTTTCCCCCTCAGTGGAACTTTTTTCCCGGTGTTTACTTGGGGTTTTTTGTCAAGAAATTTTGTCTCTGCATCTTGTCCCAAGGTGATGTGTACCCAGTCAATATGGAGATAGTTGAAATACCCCACTATTATTGAGTTCTTTATTTTGATAGCCTCTCTAATCTCTCTTAGCATTTCATAGTCACTATTACTGTCCTGCTCAGGTGGTCGATGAGAGATCCCTACTGTTATATTCTTATTAGAGCAGGGAATTACTATCCATTGCAATTCTATAGAACATGTTGATTCAGTTAAGATTTTTACTTCATTTAATTCTAAATTTTCTTTCACATATAGTACCACTCCCCCCCACACGACCAGTTCTGTCCTTACAATATATTTTGTACCCCAGAATGGTTGTGTCCCATTGATTGTCCTCACTCCACCAAGTTTCTGTGATGCCTATTATATCAGTATCCTCTTTTAACACGAGGCGCTCTAGCTGTGTTAATGTAGAGTTTAAGATTGCTTGGTGGTTTTTTGTCCCTTTGCCCAACACCGAATTGAGCAAAACTCAAAGTTCTGAATATCAGGAAATGGAGAATTAAGGTTCAACATCTTTATTAATTACCTGGATGAGGGGATGGATTACACCCTCAGCAAATTTGCAGATGACACTAAACTAGGGGGGGGAGGTAGATATGCTGGAGGGCAGGGATAGGGTCCAGAGTGACCTGGACAGATTAGCAGATCGGGCCAAAAGAAATCTGATGTGGTTCAACAAGGACAAGAGTAGAGTCCTGCACTTAGGACGGAAGAATCCTAAGCATTGTTACAGGCTGGGGACCGACTGGCTAATTAGCAGTTCTGCAGAAAAGGACCTGGGGGTTACAGTGGAAGAGAACCTGGATATGAGTCAAGCTGGATAGTGTAGCCAAGAAGGCTAATGGCATAGCGGGGTGCATTAGGAGGAGCATTGCCAGCAGATGTAGAGAAGAGATTTTTCTACTTTATTTGGCTCTGTTGAGGCCACATCTAGAATATTGTGTCCAGTTCTGGGCCCCCCACTATAGAAAGGATGTAGATGAATTGGAGAGGGTCCAGCAGAGGGCAACCACAATGATTAGGGAGCTGGAGTTCATGACCTATGTGGAGAGACTGAGGGATTTGGGTTTGTTTAGTCTTCAGAAGAGAAGAGTGAGGGGGGATTTCATAGCAGCCTTCAACTTCCTGAAGGGAGGTTCCAAAGAGGATGGAGAGAGGCTGTTCGCAGTAGTGACAGATGGCAGAACAAGGAGCAATGGCCTCAAGTTACACTGGGAGAGGTCTAGGTTGGATATTAGGAAAAACTATTTCACTAGGAGGGTGGTGAAGTACAGGAATGGGTTACCTAGGGAGGTGGTGGAATCTTCATCCCTAGAGGTTTTTAAGTCTCGGCTTGACAAAGCTCTGGCTTGGTTGATTTAGTTGGGATTGGTCCTGCCTTGGGTAGGGGGATGGACTTGCTGACCTCCTGAGGTCTCTTCCAGCTCTATGATTCTATGGTTGCCCATGCAACCTTAACTCTGCCCTTTTTTAGCAATGCCCCAGTATGCCCTATGACCACATCTATCTTTACTCTGCCATTCCCATCCAACATTAAAAGGACAAAAAAGGAAAAATAGTATAAAAAAAAGATTGCCTGGGACACCTTCCCTCTAGCCTCTTTGAGCAATGCTTCAGCATGCTTGAAGCATGTACTCACATTGGCCCTTGATACGATAGGATTCAGGAGGTTACAGATTCTGGCAAACCCTTTCATAGTTACTCAGCTCTCCAGACAAAATATCACACATGTACAACCTAAGGACCACATCAAAGTATGGACAATCTTCACTTTGCATTTCCTGGGATTCAGGAGCCTTATTTTTGCTCAACTCATCATTCTGAAAGATGACATACCACCAAGTAGTCTTACAGCTGTGTGAATGGAGTTTTTTGCCATTGTTTTTCCTAGTTTTTTGAAGATGAAAAGATCTGTGGTTGGTAGAGATTGGTAGTCATTTAGACTGTTGTATATATCATGTCCTGCAATTAGTGCATTGAGCCAAGCACCTCTCTGGTCCCCATGTGCACATACCCATTGGACCCTACCATCCAATGCTCAAGAACATCTCCCAAGCCATGCCCCTAACCTATTTAAAACTTCCTCCTCCTCAACCTGGCACCCTCTCACTGTTGTACCCAGGTCTCTGCACTGTAAGCAGGCAATGCATCTCTCTAAAACCTTGACTACTGGGCATACAAATGTTTTTATTTCTGTTACTTCCCTCCTCTTATAACCTGACTCACATCCAGGGACTGGAGTGAAGGACAACTATGTTACAGTGGAAAAGTTCAGGGTGCCGGAAGGTTTAGGAGCACTGGTAGAACTAGGGGCACACGGGGTTGGGCTGCACTGGGTGAGTTAGGGGGTGCAACGTCTCCCTCCCCTGTGTCCCCAACCTCTCTTCTCTCTCCTTTCATCCATCCCCCTTTGCTATCCCCATAAACCTTTCCCCTTGCTACATACCCACTCCACCTCTACCTAATATCTTTTCTCTTCCAGGATGCTCACTTGTCTAATTGTTTCCCTCCAAAGACTTCAATTACATTCCCCCCAAAATAAAATGGGGGGTTGGGATTAATTTATCCCTCAATCCATTGATCAAAGAGCAAGCTGCCATCAGCTATCAAGGAATCTATGAGTCATCCAGTCATTACAACTGTTCAGTTTAACATTATAAGGCATCAGAAGCAAACTGTGCTTTCAGGAGTAGTATCCTGGTAACCCCATGGTCAAGTGACCTCAAATTTCAGTCACTGACACTATACAACCTCCCTGTGAGGCACACCAAATGTCAGAGTAATCCAACTAACCTTTCGTCTTCTGGAGTAGTCACCGGAGTCGAGCTTAAAGGCTTCTAACATGGGGAGAATGGAACCCTTCTAGCTGGTTTTCTGCACTGGCAAGCGCACAGTGCAAAAATACACATTTTCTTAGATACCGTTCTCAAGCTGGCTCCCCCAAAGATCTAGGGAATGCCATGCACTACCACGGGTAGACCTCAATCAACAGAGACCATTTTGACCCAGAGCTCATCAACAGTTTGATCTAACTCTGGGCACAACACTCCTCCCCACTCTCCCCACGCCCCCGGCAAAAAAGCTCACACCAAAACACACACATGCCCCAGAAATTTTTTTTAAATAGACACCTTATCTCTCTACAACCCCTGGCTCTAATGACTACAGGTTTAGGTCATTAACCTTACCCTGCATCAGAGGAACACCGAATCTCAGATAAACCCGATGGGACACGTTCATTTTAGAGGACCTGAGAAAGGCCGACTATATTAGATATCATGATGCAACTGTAATCATAGTGTTGCACCCTTACCACTGTAATATAGCAAATGTCTTTGCCAGCTGTGGGGATGAGGACATCATCTAGCATAGAA